TGAAAAATATTGTAGTGTAGCCCATTCTTGTGGATGCTGTGGCAACAATGTCCATGCAATATGCGGAATAGCCAATGAAGCAGACGAAGGGTATGGAGGGAACAATACTCGCAGAATATGTCACAATAAACAAGAAACCATGGACAACAGGTCAGCAGCTCATGCTAGCTTGCAAACTCAAGGTGCTAAGATGCTAAAAAAGTTTAAACAAGCTGAAGTGGGAGATACTGGTCGCATCCGTATTCCAGAAGTTGACAGAGGTCGCAGTGATCCCCGAAGCGTCTTTGCAGTTGTCATGAGCGTCGAGAGTGCTAGGGACAAGCTAGGAACGTAACATGGTATTTCAAAACAACGGTATGCTAGAAGTGAGTTTTTAATTCTTCACGAAAAACTGCTCTCATTGTCGCTCGTTGGCACTGAGGAAAATCACTACGAACCATTGAATCTTCACATTAACTGACCGGCGGCCAAGGCTACATTTGCTGCAATTGCACAACCTTGTGCACAACAAATCGCTGCAAGTGTAAAAATAATGTAATTCTAAATAATAATCAACAAAGACTTAATTTTTATGATCCTTACGGTATAAAAAAAAAATCTGCTCAAGATCTTCTAATTCGGACTTTGATCGTCACTAGCCAGATGATCTATCAAGTTCGGACTGGCCGGTCCACCATGGCCAGTCCGCGGATTGGCCGGCCAAAGGCCAAAATGAAGTAAAGTTTCGGACTTTGGCCGGTCGATGGGAGGCGATATTGGCCAATGCGCGCTTTGGCCGACTTCGGGCTTTGACCGTAACACACACACACACATACACACACATATATATATATATATATATATATATATATATATATATATATATATATATATATATATATATATATATATATATATATGTATGTGTGTGTGTGTGTCGGCCTAAATAGACCTATAATTTAAATATATGCCGCATACGCGTACATGTAGAGGCTTTAAACACTGCTGACTTAATAGAAACGATTTTTATTTATAGTATGTTAATACTACAGTTGGATGTAACGTTGTTTTCTATTTAACTTTAATTAATCATGAATGGAACTGGCAAAAAGCATTTTCTTCTGCACATTTTGCAATTTTTTTGCCTTGGTGTCAGCCGGTGCGGTCCGCACCCCCCTCCCGGCCCGCCCTCGCTACGCCTCTGCTGTGACGAACATACTTTTTATTTCTATCTATTAAGAGGTTGAACGAATCTGTACAATATGGTTTCACATATAGATTCTATAACGGAACTCGACAGGAGTAAGCGTCCTAACTGCATGATTTGCAGTCTGACATGGGCAAAACGAATAGAGCACTTCGTTTAGCTGCATGGGGGATGGAAAATACAGAAACAGGGCGCTCGCAGAATTTGACTTTCAAGGTGAAGCCGCACGATTCTGAACTGGTGCCTGTAACGGGTCGTCCATAAATGATGTCACATTCGTAGGGTGGAGGGGGGGGCGGAATTTTGTGACGGTGTGTGATGAGGGGAAGGGGGTTTAGATGGTGTGATGTCATATTTTTGCATTATAGAAAAAAGCAATGTTAAAAAATGAATTTTAGCCGTTATTTCGCGTTTTTAGAAAACTGTTTTAATAAATTGTAAGAGGGATTGCTTAAAATACTCTAGGTTGACAGAGTTCAGACAAGATTTTGGAAATATATTGTATTTTAAGAAAAATTCAACTGCAATTTTGAGAGGGAGGGGGGGGGGGGGCGGTTTTTTTAGGCTGAGGTGTGGCGTCATTTTATGGAGGGGGGGGGGTCTGGCTTTTTGTGACTGTCTGACGGAGGGGAGGGGGGGAGGTAAAAATCGTCAAAAAAGCGTGACGTCATTTATGGGTGACCCCTAAGCCAGTGTGAGGCAACAGCAGAAGCCACACTAATGTGTAGTAATTAATATTCATTCTGTTTTTCTGTGAACATCGTATTTTAATGGGGGGGGGGGGGGTTCTTTGAAAACAGTGGTTTATGTACGTTCATATTTTATTTTCTCGTATACACAGCATAGAAGTACTGTAATTGTGTTGAATAATTCAATTCTTTATCATATATGCAATATAAATACTTGTATGTAAAATTTCATCTACCAGAAACAGTACTCAAGTAGAATAAACTCCACTTCCGATTATCGGAAATCGCTGAAAAGTTGATACAGAAATACAAATTTGATGTAATACTTATATATGAAATTTCATCAACCTAGCTGTAACATTATTCAATTTGTCGTGTTCACAGACACACACACACAGAGACATCAGACAAAATTGCAAAACTAAGTTTTTCTGTCTTAGGAATGTGTAAAACGTCGAGTGAGATATGTACAAATCTCTATTTCGATTTGTTGCACGATTACAATACTTCCTCTATACTTCGTTTACAAGTAAGTACGATAAGCCTGCATTGACGCCTGAATTATAACCAAATCCACAACATTAATTTACACCAATATAAATTCAAACTGGACACCCAGAATAAAAATTGCCTCATGTTATGTAATGGCTATTTGGGATGGTGCCCTAATGTTGCTTTCAAAAAATATTTCAATATAACCTTCTTGACTAACTGGTATTTTTCATTATGAAATTTCATAATATTATATTTCAAGATAATCCTAATTTATAAAAGCCCAATGTGCGCACATCTCTCTCTCTCTCTCTCTCTGTCCGCAAAAAATTTTCGCCGGACATCACGTCAGAATCGGCAGCGATATATCGAGAACTTTTTACGGACTTTTGTTGAAAATAATATGTTAGATGTTTTAAATGTATAACCACAATTTTACTTAAAGAAGAAAAATAAAAATTAAAGGCGTATTCGAATGTAGAGAAACAGTATTATTTATGCAACCGGAAAAAGCATTAATAAATGTGTAAAAGAACGCATAAAACTGTGACGACACTATTGCTTACTAATGACGTCATCTGCCGTGTTTACAAGAAAAAGAAAAGAACTATTTCATTCAAATTTGATTTAGATCTACGTACACTATGAAATGTATACAATACAATTTTTCCGACCTAAACTCATAACATTTATTTATACAAAATCTTTGTTTGGAACTGGCTAATTTGGGATAAAAAAATTAATTTGAAAGAATAGGCATATTCGCGTAAGTTAAGATTTTAAAATACGTCTTTAATTCTCTGTATTTTATAAGGTGCCTAAATAGCGGAGATGTTAGTGTACTATAAACCACGCAGGTGGTGCGGGTTCGAGACCCACCAAGTCAACTTGGTTAATGTATTTTTTTTTATTTTGCTCGGACTAAACTTAAAAAAAAAATTCAATTAGGATTCTAGATCTAGATCTAGATTGTCGGGTGTCCGATAAGTCACTTCCCGGCGCCGCAGGCGCTTCAAATTTGGCAGGATCTTGCCTTGGGGCGACAGAGCACGGGGGCCGGTTGGCCGAAAAGTCTACGATGAGGGGGTCAAAACTGACCTCGACTGACCGGTACCTTATATGAGCTATAAATCGAAAAAAAATGTCCACGGAGGAACCTCTTCATAACTCTTGAGGTCGTAGACCGCTCGACCGACCCTCGGGCGAATTAATTAAGCATTCAAATTCTCAATGTTTTCGAAAGCCTAAGCGAAGCTGGGCAGCATGCCTAGTTAATAATATAAGTCAAGCAGATTTTAAAATGTAAAATCTTATATTGATATAAAACGTTCTACCCCCCCCCCCCCCCCCCCCCCCCCACTGTGGTTGCAACATCACTTTTAGTTTTGTTGTTATCAGATGTACAAATTATACATTTGACAATAATTGTGACAAGCATACTTTCATATTTTGTAATCCTATTGATGAGTGGCCATCCCGATCTAGGTTTAAGAAGATGGCATATATAATGTTCCATTTACTCATCACCTGTAAAAAAAAGTATTAGGAAATTATAAATAAATCTTTAGCATGCTAAAACCGAATTTAAGAGTATTTAAAATTCAATTTAGTTTAAGTAAAGAGGATTGATTAATTTTAAAAGTAAACAGTACTCACATCATCTTTTACTTTTTTAATAAGATATCCCAGTCTTCCAACTTTAAACTGGTCTGTTTGTCTATCTGATATCAAAGTTTTTTTTGTTTCTTTTATTTTTTCAGGGGGCTTCAAAGTCTTTGGTTTATCTAAAATATTGAAGTACATCTACTAAAGATTTTATCAGTTTGAGTCCAAAATTATGTTGGGCAAACACTAATCTTATATTGGCCTATATTTTCTAACTTAAAAATATTATACCAAAACACAAAGCATCTATATAGTAATATTAAATAAAAATAAATGGATGTAGTAAATTTAAAATAAAAAACCTTTCATTGATTGCAAATATCCTGGAGAAAATGTTTTAATAAGAGTGTGATAACTCAATGTGCAGTCTGATGCAGTGTCCATACTGTTCCATAAAAGATCTAAGTCTTTAACTGTTAAAATTATGCCACACCTGAGAAGTGTTAAGCACAATGATTTCTCATAATTCAATGATATTTGTTTAACATAGTGTAAGAAAAAATATTTAGAAAAATGCTTTCCCATAAGTCAAACAACAATATTTTTTAATGCTGTTATCAGCATTAATATTACTACACATTTAAAACTAAGTTGCTTTTTCTACTTCTTCACCTTTTTCAACTGCCAGCGGTGACCTGGCCATTTGCAACACCTTTCCTTTGCTATTTTTTTCCATTTCTTTCCAACTCTTTCCAATTACATTCCTGTGGTTTTCAATTTCTCTATTTCACATGTTTTTGAGTCTCCCTTTTATCCTTGACTCTTGTGGATTCCATGATATGCAATGCCTGGTAATACTTGTTGCTGGTTTCCTCACCATATGACATATCCATCTTCACCTTCTTTACTGAATTCCTTGCTCTTCTGGAATTTGTCCTGTCCCATACTGTTGTGTTGGTACTATATTTAACCAGTTTATATAAAACTAGCCGTCGGTACACGTTACACATGAATTATAGGCCTATATATTTTAATGTTATACTTGTTAGAGAAAATTATTTTATAAAATAGTTATTGGCTAAAGCGCAATGTGCTTTACTACACGTTGAACTATATTAGTGACAAAGCAAAGAAATAACAAAATGCATTAACTTTTATATATTAGGATATTTGCCATAAGCAGCTATTTATAAAAAAAATAGAAGTCTGCCCAATTCTCCTTTTGTTGATCACTACCTTATTGTGCTATAGAATAAAACAGATTTTACGTTAGCGTTTTTAAAATTCGTAGTTTGGTATTATTAGCAATTTATTTAGAGCTCAAAATATTTTTAATCGATGCCTAAGCTCCTCCTGCCTCCTGTAATCTTGAAGAGCCCCACTACCAATCAACTATGACTCCTTTCTTCCAGCACTCTTTCCCTATCTCAACTGTGATTGTATTCTTTCAGTTTATTCTTAATATTTTGGACTTGTTTTCATAAATATATATATATATATATATATATATATATATATATATATATATATATATATATATATATATATATATATATATATATATATATATATATATATATATATATATATATATATATATATATATACATATACATATACACACATATATACATATAAAATTGAGGCTAATTTAGAATTTTTGTTTGCATTTTTTCTGTCTTTGGGATAATAGTGCTATGTTGTCTGCAAGTCCAAATCTACCCGCTGTTCACTTAATTCCACTTTTTCCATTTTCTTTGATATTTTTCATGATACAGTCTACATCTATGCTATTTAGTATGGGTGGATTAATATTTATCAATAAAGACCTAGAAATAATTGGCTCTTCTGTTTTGCTCTGCTATTTACTAAATTTAGTATCGTTGGATACAAAACTTTGTATTACAAAGTACACACATTGACTTCACTGGCTTTTCTGTTTTGCTACATTAGACTACATCTACACTATTTAGTATTGGACTTATTTGACTATTTTTGCTACATCTCTGCTATTTATATCAAATTATTATGACATTATTGCAAGCTTTTAAAACAAAAATACTTACAGCTTAATAATTGCCCCAAACTGCCATTTTGTCATATATCCACACCTTTTCCTGTCCATGTTTTGAAAGTTCTTAAATTAAAACAAACCAATATATAGTATTATGTGTGCTTATCTTTGAGTGCTACAACCTAAACGTTCTCTGATTTGATATTTTTTTTTAAAAGAGATATCGAAATATTTCACAGGTTTTCTGTTTTTTTAAGAAGAAGTCAACTAGCAGTAAACAATCAGTGCTAAAAAAATTCAAAAGTATCCATTTCCAGTTTGTTCAGAATAGTCAGAGTAGTTAAAAATCCTTAACCCTATTTTAAGGCTAGGTTTGAATATTGCTATGTTGAGCAACTTGTTAATTCAAATTAAATTTAGACCAAATTACTTTTTTGTTAAGCGACCACATTGATAATGCTAAAATACAAAGACACAAAACACACTCCACAGCACTATTACATAAAATTATTAATTGTGCCCCATGAACATAAAATGTTTTTTTCACTGCATGAAGTTAACTTTTTTCAGATGATTTCCTCAGCTGATCAAACATAATCAAGTATTGTAGGCTTATATAGGGGGAAATAAACAAAACTCCTGGATTTTAAGGAAGCAGAGGTACTTGGATTAACATCATAGTTAAAAGAAGCAGCTACAACTTTATTTCCAAGAAAAATATCACCACTACATGGTGGAAGTCTGCTACATGGTATATTCGACTACTCTAACTAAATTTGTAAGAAAATAAACCTAATAAAGATTACCTACCTTGTCAAAAACATGAAACCTGCTTGTAAAGAGGTTAATTAATTTGTTCCTGATCTGTCAAAAAAAGTATTTAGAATGATTAACAATGTATAGAAAGAAATTTTTTAAAAAGTACTTATCAAGCCTAAGCAACCTAGATAATATTTTTTTCAACTTTAGTGCAGAACGGTTTGACTACACATGTTACAAAACAAATACAAAAGAATAGTAAGCAAACAATTGTGGGAAAAAGATCAACTTCTCAAAATATAATACACCATGCTTGGATGTCATCCTAAGGGTGTTATGGGGATATAACCCTAATTTAAAAGTACTTGTTCAATGATCTAAGCATTTTAAATTGATCCCTAAATTATTAAAAGTACTACAAAACAGAAGATATATCATGCTCAGACTACCATAAACATTTAGAAGAGCTTTTTTCTATCAGAAAGATTACAAAAATTCATTCGCAAATGGTTTATTTATAGTGCCATTTCTATAACAAACTTGTTACGCAAAATATCATGTACATTAACTATAAAGTATACATGATTTCTTTGAGATTTTTTTTGGTTTTAGAAATAAAATTCAATTGTCATTTTTCAACATTGCATTCAACAAGGCATCATTCACCTGACATGAGCAGTAAGTTACAAGATGACAAATTCAAAATGATTAATTTCCCCACAGCTGTGCTGTATGAAAATCTTGAGTGTATTTTAATCACTCCGTGCAGTGGTGAGGTAGAACACTGCGGGTGCAGTTTGACCATTGATTCATGACACCCAATGAGCTGACCTAAGGTCAGAGCCCCCCCCCCCCCCCCCCCCGAAGAAAGTCTATGGCCCCCTCGAACAAAATGGAATTTAAATAGAAAACATATACTTTTACCAGTATCCGCCCCCCCTCCTGGAAAATGTTGACCACCCCCCAAAAATATCAAGTGCCCCCCCCCCCCCCCCCCCCGGAGAAAAAAGTCTGGAAGAAACACTGTCCGCCAATCCAAGAATTCATCTTGTAATTCATCGGGAATGCTGGCCACATCAAGGAAAGCAGAGGATAGGTTAAGTGTCAATGCCGTTTCTTCTTTTTTCAGCTCAGGGAAATACCGCTGCAGTTCATGTTCAAGAGACTCAAGCAAGATGCCCAGAATTCTCTTTCAAATTTTTATTTATCTCACAGATTTATCTACCACACTACACTACAAAACATGGCAATATTTCCAAGATTTATTTTTCTTCGCCAATTTGAAAAAAAATGCCCAGAGATTATCATGAAAAGATATAATATTCGTTCACTTTCCCCTAAGCTTCAGGTTAAGCTGATGTTGATGTTAAAATATACCTGCTAGGGATGATACTCTCTCCAACCACTCTTTTTCGTTAAAGTATATCATAAGGTCTTGTTTACCTTGCACTTTTCATCTTTCAAAAACACGATTCACAACATTTCCTTTTTATAGCCAGCTTACTGTAGTGATCCTTATTCATGACTTTGCATAGTTCTTGAAACAGACGGGAGTTTAGGGCTCCAGATTTAGTGAATTTTAAGACGTTTATTAGCAATGGATTCGAAAGAGTCTTGCTGGCGAGGGCGTACTGGTGAATCATGCAGTGGATTCCCCTTTGTTCGGGAGCTAAATCTTTTACTTTTTTCTAAAGCCTGATTTTGACCAAAACATACGCACGATCCCTACAAACCCCACAGCCGTTTTCCCATTTTAATCATCAAGTTTCAAACATCGTATTTATTTTCTCCATGAATCCTCACAAAATACAATTTCTTTGCTATCATCTGACTGAATATATTTCACAAAGACAAGCAACTGCTAACACAAACTCGCGTCTGTTGATTCATCAACTTGAAAAGCAAACAATGCTGAAAGCTTGATCACATTCAAAAAATTTTCTTTAACTTCCACTGACATGTCTGCCACTGATATACTATTATTAGACAGAAATATTGTTGCATCTTTACTGCACTGGAACTCCCAAGAATTAATTTCACCATCTTCAACATGTGTGTGAGGTTCTTTTTGATTGGCAATTTTTAATATGACTTCATATAATGCTTGCACTATTACTGCCTTTTCCTGGTGAAAGCTTCCTGTTCGATCAAGTCTCTGACGTTTGCAACTAGCTTTATGCCTACTAAAGAACTCCATATCTTTTTGGTGTGTTCCGAATGACGCGTCTCAAAATGACGTTTTAGTTTTGCAGGTTTCATAGACTCATGACTGAGAACAACTTTGCACAGTAAGAATTGTTTCTTCTCTATACCATTTCCATTGATGTTAGTAAAACCGAATTTCAGATATTCTAAATATTTATGATTTTTTTTAATTGCTAAGGTTTAGTTTACAAATTGGCGACCCCCCCCCCCTACCCAGAAAGCCCTTCGCGACCCCAGTTTGGAAATCCATGATATAACGGATAAGCAGCTAGTTATACTACAGCCAAGGCATTGGGTGCTGAACCTGATTCTACTTGGTCATTGAATATAGTGGCTCAAAGTATCCCTAGTGTATAGCACTCATGGGAACGACCAGGGTGCTCCAGCGGATGCCCCTAACGCAGTTTGATCATAGATTCTGGTAGAACCCTTTACCTGCCTGTGCAGGATAGCCAATCGGCAGACCTCAGGTGCTATGATAGCTTCTGAGGAACTGAGGGTGCCAATCTCACAAGTGCCAAAGCGTCACACTCCCGATATTTAAACTTTTTTTTAACTGCAGAATCTTTTCCTAGAGTGTACTCAACAACATTCCAACATTTCATGGCAATCAGATTCATTGCACAGTAGTAACACTTAAAGATAAACAAACTTTCAATTTTATCTATATTCCTATATAGATATGTAACATTTATCATTGTTACCAACCAAGGGGGATAAAAAATTAAGTTATAATTTATTGGGTTGCAGCCCCTGTGGGACCGCAACTGTTGATGTTGTTTTTTCGTGTCCTTCGGTGAGCGAATTTTACCTGTGTTCCATGTCACATTGTTTCATGTCATGTGACATGGAATTATGGGTAGTTCGTGCCTGTGGCCGTGTCAGTCAGACCCAAGGCTGCTGTGGACACGGACAGTGCTGTTGCCTATGATAAGTAGATCATGTAGACCTAATGGACAGTGTTTTCTACATTTCTACTGGCTACATATCCAGTTGGCTTGGATGTTAATGTCAATAAATCCAGTAGTCGACAATAGCATCTTTCCATTGTGTGCTATATCTCAGGCTGTGTTTCTTCCAGACTTTTTTTTGGGGGGAGGGGGACGACTTGATATTTTGGGGGGGGGGGGCGGGCGGACACTAGTAAAAGTGTAAGTTTACTATATAAATTCTATCTCGTTCGAAGAGATGTCTTTCGCTTAGAATCCTGGAAAAATTGGATAGGCCTACATTTTAATAACAGTAAGGTAAAAAAGAAAAATTAATTAAAATCTTTATAATTTTATCAGGGGAGGTAATTTTAAAAGAAATTCAACTCACGCTAATAAAAAATGTGAATGCGAATTCTGCGGACGTGCAAGAGGACATTATTGTTAGAATATTATAATTAACATGGATTGATAAAATGCACCGTGGTAGGTAAACAGATAATTTTTATATTGCCTTTTATTTATTTTATGGATAAGTTGGGGTATTATAGTTGTTTACTAAGTTGAATCAGACGGTTCCGCCGGCGCCCTGGTCGGGTGCGATTTAGCGCCCCGGGCTAGACTGTGAGCACTATGTGTTTATGTTTGCATTTAAGTTGTGTTTATGTTATGCGTTTGCATTTTCACATGTTTTTTTTTTTGTGTTTGCAATGTTTTTGTGTTTGTTTTTTCTTTAGTGTTTGCATGCAGCATTTGTGTTTTTGTTTGTTTGTGTTTGCATTGTGTTTGTGTTGTGTTTTCTTTTGCGTTTGTGTTATCTTTTGTGTTTGTGTTTTGTTTTCATTGTGTTTGTGTTGTTTTTGTGTTTAGTTTTGTTCTGTTCCCAAGTTGGTACATTTAAAAAAGATTTACTGTGGCGGAGGGACGGAGTGGTCTAGCGGTAGAGAGCTGGACTGCTAACCCGTAAGTCTCGAGTTCGAATCCGGGTCCAAGTCAGTAGACCGTCCCTGAGTCCACCCAACTCTGATGGGTACCTAACTCACGTTAGGGAAAGTAAAGGCGGCTGGGCATAGTGCTGACCACACTATCTCTTCATATGCCGAGGTCACAGAAACAAGTGAACTCTACTTCACTTGCCCCATAGACCGTCAGGTTTGAAAGGGAAACTTTACTTTTACTTACTGTGGCGGAGCATGGGTATGCAGCTAGTCTCTTATAACCAGAAGGAAGTCTAAAAAATTAGCAATAACACTGTGTATTAATATATGTATAGTTGTGTGTGGGTAGAAAAAAGTGTATGGGACAGCCATTCCAATAACGGACCACTTGGCCATAAATTGGTTAATAACTAGTAGAAACATTTTTGTTGTCCAAGTCTTTTCTTTTCTAAATTAAGACCTTATTTTTTATGCATACTGTAAAAAAAAAAAAAAATTAGTTACAGTTATATCTAAATACAGTGGCTTCCAATCATAAATATAACTCGTGTTTAAAATATAAATTATTTTACCTCAGAGAGCCTAAGATTTTGAGAAGAATCTAACTTTGGAGATATTGTCAACTGAGCGGCCTTTTCTTGTAATCTTCTTACAGATGAACAGGGAGTTGTTTTTACTAGATTATATTTTTGACATACAAATTCTCCCTTTTTACATCTATTCCAAAAGCCTGGCCTGTATTTTGGAGTAAAAATTAGTAAGTGAGAATTTAAATTGATTAAATATTATTACCTGATGTTGCTGTGATGTCAGGAGAATCAAAATTCAAGGACAGTCATCATGAAAAACATACAATTTTCAAATCTAGCCCTACACAACAAACTGAAGCAATTTTTTATGAGGCCCCTTTTAAGCGAAAACCAGAGTACGGCAAGTCTGCGTGCTTTTGCCAATGATCTTTTTGATAGCCATTTACTGGATTTTGAGAAGAACAACCTCAGACCAAAAAGCTGGTATACATTCTCCTTTCACAACGACAACAGCATGCCCTATCCCAACAAATCAAACTCTGTGAAGAAGCACGTTAGACAGGCTTAATGATCAACTGGAAAAAGACACAGAAGTGAAGAGAATTTACAATAAACAGGAGCTCTCACTTAAGATACAAGAAATGACTATTTCAGAGGTGGATCACTTCACAATTAACGGGAGGTGTAGTAATCTAGGATTTAGGAGCAGATGAGGAAATCACAATTATCAGTTCATTCAACACCCTCAGTACAATCCCTGGATGTCAAGAGCACAGTTTAACAGCAATGTGAAATCTGGTTCTGAGAAGAGGAGAGAAACAAACTAATAACAACAAACTACAGACTCTCATTAATTAAGCAACATCATCAGACAGATTGGAATCCCTAAAGAAAGAGGAAAGTAGGTAGGCCAAAATAAACTAGGAAAAGATCAGTTGTCAGTGAAACAGAAGCAGCCAGAATGAAGTGGGCCCAACTTGGAGGAATCACCCAAAAACAATGGAAAGGTGTGGATGCCTACATATGTTCTACAAGAATGATGATGAGGATGATAGATTAGCATATTTGCAATATATATATATATATATATATATATATATATATATATATATATATATATATATATATATATATATATATATATATATATATATATATATATATATATATATATATATATATATATATATATCATTCTTAAAGTAATAATTCAGTAATAAATTAATTCATTTATTTTAGAAATGTAAAAAAAAACATTTAAAGTATAATAAAATTTAAAAGACACATCTGTATGGAAGAAACTTTACTGTAGCAGATACTAAACTATGGGCTATTAAAAGATATTGTGAATTACCTAATTACTGACAGTGAAAATGTGCCAATTAATTTTTAGGATTTGCTATGGTTTATCTAAGTACTTCTAAAAAAATCATTATTGTTCACAAGTTTTTAGGTTTAAAGTAGGCCTTTTGTTTAAAAAAAAATGTTTCTTTATATATTGGCCAAAAGCAGAGATCAGAAAATCTGGAATAAGTATAGATCGAGAATTTAGAAATGTGTACTTATTTAGAAAAGATTTAGAAAATATGAGACATCCAATAATGCTAAATACAATAAGATGATGTATATTGAATTGTGTTGTAGACAGTGTGTAAGATTGGGGGAAAAAATGATTACTGTTTAATTAATGAGGTCATAAAATTGGTATTTTAAACACACATTTTTTCCCATTAAGTTTTTATTTCTTTATTCAAAAATGGATAAAGAATCCAAAAGTGCAAGAAACCCAGTATGATGAAAAAACAAGATTTTTTGTGAGCATTTCCCTTCAAATTAAAAAATCTTATCACATAGATAGTGCACAGATGATTAATTTTAACCATCAAAGAAGTTATAATTTATTGTTGTTGTGAGTGGCATTTTAGTGTAATGAATGGGTATGAATGTGTGTAGTGGAATGTGTTATATTAATAAAAGATGTTGAATGTGATAAGGCAAGTAAGGATGTGACAGATTATGATTTAGTTGTTGGGGGAAGGAGTTGAAATCAGTCTTGGTCTTGTCGCATTAAGGGTGGAAGTCTTTGTCCTGTGTTGTTGGTGTTTGGATGTCCTCAAATGTCATCGTCAATATAGTCATGTCCGTTGCGTATTGAAAAAATGTAATTAAAAGATGAAATTAAAAACCACCACCTTGTCTTGATATGTAATTGTATTGGATTGTGTCTACTGCATACATTAATCTTCAACCCTGTCCATATCTCGCATTCGTAACAATTGTTAATATTATGACATCTTTAATAATTTATTCATTTTTATTCCTATGATTCCTATTACTAAATAGGACACTTGACATATTTTCCAATTTGAGGATATGAAAAATTAATGTTTGTATTCATTAAATTATTGACTGTTTAGGGACAAGCCACCCAGAATTAATTTTTGTGTGTCTTTTTTTGTTTTTAACCCAACTATTTAAAAGGTTTGGGTATTTAATAAAATAATATGGTGTTTTGTTGATTAAAAACTATATATTTTTGGTTATTTTTTTTAAAAATAGAATACAAATGTTATATTTCATGTAAAGAATTTTCCACTAAGCCAACTTCCCTCTCCCTGAAGTATCCACAAAATTTAACTACTTTTTGAGTCTCTCTCCCAATCCGCCATAAATGGATGCCCCAAAAGTAGGGTGTCGCCCAAGATTTTAAACTTCTTTTTTGTTAAAGATGACTTAAACAATTAAAAACTACATTTATTTACCTTTAATTTGATAACAATTTTATTTATTAAATTTGATCAGTAGCCTAAAAAAATGATTTGTGAAAAAACACGTTCTTTTTTACGATGATATTACTGATTTTGAGTGATACGGTGGATTAGTTTTTACTTTCTCGTATACAAAGTATAACATAATTTTGCAATCTTGTCTGTATGTCTGTGTATGTATTATATGTGTATGTGTGTCTGTGAACACGATACCTTGAGTACCTTAACAGCTAGGTTGATGAAATTTCATCTATAAGTAAAAGTATTATATCAAATTTATAGTTCTGTATAAACTTTTCAGCGATTTCCGGTAACTGTAAGTGACACTTATTCTACTTTCAATTTTTCAAAAGACTATAACTTGAGTACTGTTTCAGATACGTAAGTAAAAGATCTAATGCTCTGCCTTATGTCAAAATTTGAATAATTTCCGTTGACCGGAAGTAGTAATTTACGCTATTTCCGATTTCTCAAAAAACGCAAGTGAATGTATAAAGTACTAATAATAGTCCGCACTATTATCCACAAATTTTTTGGCGTTCACTTGGTGCGCAATTCTTTTTTCTACGAGATTCTATTCTATTTTAAAAAGTTTAAGTAATTAAAAATGGATAAAAAATCATGTCTATATCCAGAGTTGCCATCCCCCATATTAGTGTTATATAAGAATATTTGAGAAAGTTTAGGGGAGATCACTCCCAGTTAATTTAAGGAGTGTTGTGAGACGATTGATCATTCACTATATAGCAATTCACGTTTTGCTTACTTTTATTATGTTCTGCGATTAGACCAAAAAAATATACAAATGACAACTTTGCATCAAACACTAATTATTATTGTCCTTTGTTCAAACTAGACCGCAAAAATAATGGTTGTAAGAATATATTTCTAAAATGACCATGAAACAGTGTAAACAAAAAAAACGGAATCAGGGTATCATCCTTTTAAGCAGCCTTCATTACCAATACCATGACTATGGTAAAAACAAGTAGGTCAAGTGACAGGCTACCAAAAGGGCTGGGTGGGAGTTTGGTTCTAAGAAGGAGGATTCATTTGGGGTTCAAAAGCTTTATAAAGGTTGGGGTGGGGGTAGTGGAATATTGGATTGTGTTGTGCACTGCATGTGATGATGTGATAGACAGTTTACCAGCGAGATATTGTGTGGTCTAGTACATACCTAGTAGAAGTTTGTCTATATCTTAGCATTTCCATTACCTAACCCTAATAACTAAAAGCCATAACTATATTACAAAAGTATACTATAAATAACTTCAACTGGAATGTACTATTGGAACATAGAAATGACTCACTCTGTATTGAAAAAATCCAAGAAGGTTGCATAATTTATTTTAGAGGTACTGATATATTTATCATTCAGCTTTTGGAGGAGTGATTCAAACTGGTGATCAGTCATGCAGATATCTAGAACAGTGTTGACTGCACTGCGCAAATCATGTGCAGACACAGTGCCATCACCATTTTTATCTTTTTTTCTGTTTGAAAAAAAAAACAGTTTTTATTTTAAAGCATTCAAAGGTTCAAGAAGAAAATGTTAGATGTTATGTTTTAAACAAAGAGATTAATTTTCTGATTTTAGTGTGCTATTTAAAAAAAAAAAATACACAACCCTGAGTGACATCATTTACGGTTAACACTTACTATCACTAAATCAAACTGAAAAGAATATTCCTTATAAAATTATTCCTTATAATATTAAGTTAAAAAAATTAAAACTATACTTACTTCATAATACCTAGTAAATTAAGGTAGTCAGAATGAAAATAACTTTTTAATTCCTTTACAGTTTTTTCAAGTTTGACAACATCTCTAGTCTCAAGGCACTTGTAATTGCTAAAAGTAGTAATTAAGATTTAGTTCATTATGCATGATTAAAAATAATAAATATTGGTGTTATAAGTTGAGTTTGCTAGGTGCTAAAGAATGTTGGTGCAAAATATAAAATGAATGCATGGAAGGATTCGACACAGATTAAGAAAGTGAAGTTTTTTGTAGAAACTGGTTGCTGTGAGTTAGTCTTTGTCTTGATCATCTTGGTGGAAGGAAATGTAACATAGGTGGCGCAATTGGGAGGCTGAGTTCATCGAAGGATTGTAAGAAAGCTATTGCCTTGTCTAGGTGTCTGATAAATCTGATATCAACCTCTGGAAGATAGAAACCTTGTGTATTTTCAAAAACCAAGTATGTAACTGTATGTGTGAATTGATTCAAAAGTTAATAATACACACATCTTGTCAGGTGATTGTAATTGTTGAAGTAGGACTCTCATTGTTACTCTCATAAGCTTAACAATTGGTAATTACTAGCTTTGCATTCTCACCCCATCACTCACTTCAAATGTGTATATTAATATTCTACAATAGGGACCCATATTATATATGTATATAATACATATATATATAATACATATATATATGTATAATTATTCTTTTTCACTTTGTTTTTAAACCGTTGTGTTGTGTTCGTGTCGTGTTCATGTTTATGTTGTGTTTGTGCTGTGGTTGGGTTTGCGTTTGGATTTATGGAATAACCTATTCTGGCAGCTACAAAATGAAAAACAAAGCAACCTGGCTAAAGCTAACAAAGAAAATCGAATCATGCCTTATCAAATACAAAAATTGCAACACAACAATCTTCACCAGATATATTGTACCTAAAATAACAAAACGAACAGGCACATTAGAGAATTATTCTTTAAAAACACAATTAGAAACATTAGCAACAAACTTTGATACAAAGCAAACTAAATGGTGGTATAGGGCTACATGATATGCAATACGAAAATCAATACTTTTAGGTTAAAACAGACAGAAGAAGAATAGAACCACACAATACTATATAGGGGTTTAAAAAATGTAAAATCACAACACCACATTACGGAGGGAATGATATAGGGAACTTCTACAGAAAAATACTACAAATATCTAAACGAAACAGCAACATCATTAGAGAAAATTCTAAAAAAAATATATGACATACTAGTCAAGAAACAAGCAACACCATAGGATTAAAAAGTTGGATAAATCAGCATTACTAGCATGTTAGAAAAAACATTTGATATTTTATCTTCAAGTTGAAAGGTGATTAAAATTAATAATAGAGAAAGTTGATTATTCTAGAGGTAGAGGTATAGTTTGAAGACAGTAGACACCTATGTATTGGTAGTTGAAATAATGTGATTTGGATATAGAATTGTATTTTTTGTCTTGTTTGTACCTCTTACCAGGAGTAATATTTTTATTTATATTTTCACAACTCGCCAAGTGCCCTTGTTTATTTAGTTGCAATAAATAAAAGACAAGGACAAAAGAGTCCAGTTATTACTGCAAAAGCAATGATTTTAATATGATTTTTAAACTGTAGTGTCCCTGCCAATGAAACATTTTATCGCAGTCATGTCAAAAAAGTAATGCTTTTGTCCAGTTGTCACTTTATGTAGTCTACTTTGTTTACTCTAAAACCCTAAGCCATTTTTTTTTTTAATATTATATTTAGCTGCATTTATAAGAATTATTTTTTCTAAACTTTATAATACTTAAAAAATAGGGTAATAACTATAAAACTAATTTTGGAAAAATAAAAAATAATGAATAGTTGATCAAACCTGCCAGGGCTTTTGTGTATGTCCTCACTAATAAAAATTGATTCTTTTCGTTCTTGGAATTTTTTGAGAAATTGTTTGTAGTTAATAAATCCTGCAAGTCAGAAAACAGTAATATTTGTATAAAAAAAACTGGGCAGGTATATATTAATATTTTATGCATTGAATTATTAAAAAAGAGTTGAAGCAATTTGGAAGAGCTTAATCTAGAAAATATATATTAAAAATTCATCATTATTATTTGTTCACTTTTATAAAATCTTCCCTGATATTTAAAGACTATATAATCCAAATAAAGATAATATTTTTTTGAAACCTTGAGTGTAACTGATTTCAGAAAGTGCCAAGAATGAGTCAAGATCAATAGCATCAATATTAAATCCAAATTCATTCAAGATCCTCCTGAAGTCTACTCTGGCAACATAACCATCGTTCATCAGGTCAAAGATTTTAAATGCTGACATTAGATTGCGATATGTTTCTTCAAACTGTGAAAAAAAATTTTTTTTATAGTTCAACTAATTTTTTACACAAATCTGTAACTGTTTAACATTAGTAAAAATTTTACTAAAGTGAAAAGAAGCAAAATCATGTGTTACATTACTGGTGTAAAAATCTGAAACAAAAGAATTAACAATACACCAAGAATGAAAATGCATTTTTAAATAATAAAGATTGTGTCATGTCTAATTTTTGTTGAAAATCTAGCTAGAGTAGTCACATGGAAGTGCAAGGGTGACACCAAAACAAAAAATTATTACAATTTGAGCAAATTAGTTTATGCACAGTGCAGTATGATTAATCTGTTATTATAGTTTTATATACTCCTATGTATCATGTTAGCAAATAGAAAAATTAACATGAAAGCTTATGTTTTGTTCTGATGGTTTATTAATTATCAAACACATAAAATAGCACTGAATAATTTGATGGGGGTGAGGAAAAAGAATAAAATGTAAAAACTGAAAATATCATCAAATGTAATTAAATGGTAATTAATATTCAATATTCTATCATGCACATTGTATAGTTGCTAATTTTACAGTGAAAATAAAGTTTAGTTATCCTCTTTATTAACCAACCCAACTTTATACAGATCAATACAATAATATTAAATTAAATTTTTTATTTATATAGAAGTAACACAACGCGGTATAAACACAAACTTAAATGCAAACATAAACACAAACAACAATGCAAACAATAAAGCTAAAAAAAAATGCAAGCACAAAAATAAACGCAAACTTAATTAAACACAAACATAAATTCAAATGCAAACATAGATGCAAACACAAGTATAAATGCAAACAATAATGCAAAAAATTAAACTCAAACATAAACGCAAACCAAGAAATAAACGCAGACATAAAAGCAAACACAATATGAATAAAAACATAAACACAAACTTAAATGCAAACATTAACGCAAACACAAACATAAATACAAACAATATAGCAGGAAATAATGAAAATATTTTAACATGAACATTAACACAAACTTAAATGCAAACAATATACGCAAACATGGAGTGTTTTTTTATAAAGTGTCAGTATAGAAAAGTACATAAGTTTTGTCTTGAAAAAAGTTGATGTGTAAAAATTTATCTAAATTAATGTCTCATTGATGAATATCAAATAGTTTGCCAGTATTTATGTCCAGTGTTGCAAAGCTATTCCGTAGCAAACTTTCATTTATTGTGTTGGGTGAACTATTGCTTCAGAATCTGTCTCATATTGTGTTGTGTGAAGATGGAAGAAGCGTGCGTCATACATGCAGGAATCAGATCTTCTGACAAATGACAACAGTTTGACAAATAACTAACTCGAATGCGAGTTAATGCTCTTAAAAATCGTGTTTTCCTAACTGAATCCATTTACAAAAACCTTGAGTGTGATGTGATAATATGCTGTCCACATTGATGCAAAATGAAAAAAAATGACAGCTGGAGTGAGGGAATACAATTAATGCAACTTATGAAAAACAGGGCCTTTCACTGTCGGAGTCAAAGAACACCTTACAAAGTTTCCTTTGGTTGAAAAGCTAAAGTAGGTCTCACAATATCTCTGCTGTCCCCAAGATGTTTTACAAAGTGTACTGACAAAGAAAGAACTGGAAAATTAAATAGTTAGTGTACAAGTTATACAGCTGGAAGAAACAGATCACACTGAAGAAGAGACTGATGTTACAGTTGAAAAAACTGGCAATAAAACAATCCATGATGAAGGAAACCACAGTAATAAGGGAAGAGGTGGATGGTGAAGAATCCTCCTATTCAGCCACATGTGGTTCCCACATATGCAGAAAGTGTGGACAAAACATCCATGCAATGTGTGGACCTGCTAATCTTGATGGTAAGCCAATGGAATGTTATGTGGTCAATATTTGCTTCAACATTGAGAATGTACTAGAAAATAAGAGACAATTGAAAAGGAATCTCAAACAGGGTTCGTACTACTTTTTGAAAAAGAGATTCCAGACTTTTTTGGAAAAATTCCAGACTTTAGACAGATAATGTGTTAGCGAATCTAATATATAAAGCTCAGTTCTGTATGTAACGCATATGTTTGTCGTTGGTCTTGGATGGATTTAAGTGTTAGACAATTATTGTGCGCATTTGTCTAAATTTATGAGTTAAAAAATTACTATTGAAAATGTTGGGAAATAATTTTCATTTTTCAAATTATAGTAATAATTGCATGTTCATTAAACACAAGTTTTTAAAAAATATCATCTTTTACAAAAATTCTAATTATGTCTTTATTTAGTCCTATAGCACTTACTTCCCTTTGATAAATTAGGAAAACACAATTACTTCCCTTTATAAAACCATTGCATTAGTGGAAAATAATTTACTTTTTATTACTTTGTTTTGGTGTTGGGAAAAAAAAATAATTACATAATTAGCGGGGATTGATCAAGTGCAAATGTTGCAGGTATTTTATGGATAAGCTTGGAGTATTAAAATTGTTCATTAAATTGAAACAGGCGCGTTCGTTTAAGTGAGTGCAAAAGACTATGAATAAGTTGGGGTACTATAGTCGTTCATTAAGCTAAAACAGGTGATTCCGCCCCGGGCGTTTATGTTCGCGTTAGTGTTTTCTTTGTGTTTAGGTGGGTTTGTGTTAGTGGTTGTGTTTTGATTTGGTTCGTTTTTGTTCTTTCTTTTTTCGTTTTTGTTTGTGTTTTTTTGTTTGGGTTTGTATTTGTGTTTTTGGTTGGTTTTGCGTTTGGATTTGGTTTGATTTCGTTTGCTTTTTCGTTGTTTTTTTTTTTTTGTTGGTATTGGTGTTTGTGGTTGGGTTTGTTGTTAGGTTTTTGTTTTCGTTTGCTTTTTTGCTTGTTTTTTCTTTGTGTTTGTATTGGTGTTTGTGGTTGTGTTTGTTGTTAGGTTTTTGTTTTCTTTGTATTTGTAATTGTGTTAGCGTTATGTTTGCGTTTTGTTATTTTGGTTGGTTGTGGTTTGGGTGGGCAATGCCGGGTTTATGATGATTACTAAACACACAGGTAATGGTCTTTAACAGAAAGGTTTTTCACAGAAGCCAGAGCAGGGCCTGGCCGGGACGGCTAGTAATTTATAAAATGATGCACCATTTGTACTCTCATTATAATTACTTATACTAAACTATAGGCAATTGAGCTATATTTATACTGAACATTCTCTAGCCAAATTGACAGAAAATCACTTTTCTAAGTTTGCATACTCCACCCTACCTAAAATTTTAATAATTAAAATAATTGGTTAAAATGATGCAACTATTTTGTTTCCAACATTAGACTTATGTAACCTGTTCATGATCTAATTGCTTATGTTTTCAATTAAACTATCATTAAAATGGTATTGTATAATACTAATAGCGAGAGTAATTACTTTAAAGAATAATAATGTAATGTATTAATTTAGGTCTGCTCTTGTAAAAAAAATGTGGAGCAAAAAAAACAAAAAAACATCATTCAGTTTGTGATTATAGTATAACTTATAGCTGAGAAACAGGTCTGCGATAAAAAAATTGCCGACATCCTTTCTCCCCCCCTTCCTCATCCCACACAAGACACTGTGAATGGGTCACTGTGAGGTCATAGTAGTCTAGGCTTCAGTATGCCTGTTTAATACGTCATAACATGAACTGTGATGTGACTTATACCCCCCCTCTTTACCAAGCAGTACCAACTACATACTTGGGGTCACGGCGAGTTCAAACAAGTGACTGTAGTTACAAGGAGAGGCGGAGAAGGCTAGCTTTAATCGTCAGCATTTGCAAAGATTTAAACAACAGTTTAATGGAAGGTGGATTAAAATTAAAGGGGTCATCCATTTATGATGCACACAAGGAGGGGGGTTGGAAGATTTTGTGGACGCTTGTAGAATGGGGGGGGGGGGGTGTCCACAAGTTACACTTAACATCAAAGTGCTTACATTCTAAAACAAACATAAAACGTGTATCCAGCGTGTAGAAAGTAAAATTAAGATGACTGTACTTGTGTTTCAGAAACCATCACAGCGTGTAAACAAAACAGTATTTATATCTACCCTAACATTATTGCAAGAGCGTGTCGTCACACTTTCTAAAACCCTCCTCCCGACTTTCCGGAGAGTGACATCATTTATGGACGACTATTAAATAAAAATAGTACTTTAAAAAGAAAGACACAATGGGCAGCAATATTTGTTGACTATATCAAATGAGGTGTGCCCGCTGGGTTTGTTTTGAAGTTAGTTTAGGGTAAGTGCTATATTTGTGATAAACTGTTGGTATATGTTTTGTTTAGGTACAATATAAGATTTGTTTTCTATTGGATATAGTTTTAATTACATTTAAGACATGTGTTAAGAATAACAAAGGAGATTTAGTATTTAAGAATGGTGTTTTGGGGTATACTATTATTTTTAAGAACATTCTGTTCATGGAATAGGCACTGTTGTTCAGGCCTGTTATTAATCAGAAAAGTTTGCATTTTATGTCACATTTAGAAACTGAAATCAATTTAATAGATTCTAGGTTAATTGAATTGAGTAAAATCAATTGTCAATTTTGATGAACCTGTTAACTGGTTAGACCATTTTAAATTGATTTTACAATTGCTAATTTACTCAGTAAGACAAAAACAATAAAAGAATTAAAACATGGATCATCTTATGATTCACCTGTAAATTTGAGGTGTCACAGTCCTAAATAAAAAAGGAAAGATAAGATTGAATTAAGAACAAATTTAATTTTTATGTATCATTAAAAGTAGCAAATGATTTATTAATTTTATTGTGCAGTGATAATGAATTGTTTTCTGATTGACAAATGACAAACACATACTCTTCTATTCCTCAGTAGCTAGCTTTAAGGGAGAATAATTTGTTGGTATTAAGAATTATGCTTCCATAACATTCGTTTGGTAGTTAAATCATTTTAATATCATTTTGTCAAAGAACACAGAAAAAAAGTAGCTTCAACTTTTAAGTAATAGATAAGAAGTTATTTCTGGAAACTATTTCCTTATAAATTAAAAAATTATGTGTACGCTAGAAAGTTTCTATTGCTAATAAAAAAAATACTAAATAAACATTTAATGGTTACCTTGTAATGTAGCTTGTCGATGACATCATTTATTACTGGTGTTGATTTTTTTGCATTGACCATAGTTTTAATGTAGGATGATAATTTGGACTCATCAATCAGCTGACCTTCTGTCCATTTTGTTATTGTTTGTGTAGTCTTAGTTGTTGTAGTTTCAATCTGTTTTGTAGTTGTTGTCACTTCAGTAAGACAAGTTTGGTAGTTATCTGATTTAGGAAGTGGCCATTCATTTGGTTTATGAAAGAGCTCTGCCCTATTTCCTAAAATTTCAACAGAATCCACAGTTGCTATAGATCTTTTCATCTGGAATATTCAAATAAAAAATGCTTAATTATGATAGATTACTAGTACTATGTATAACATATTATTATTAAACCACTAAACCTTGAACTTTCTGTTGCAAAGTTTACAAATATCTCATTCCCACACTACTGGAATTAACTTCCTGAATCTTACAGATTGGTTTTCAGCCTTTGTCTTATTTTACCTCAAGACACTGTGTTCATAGTAAAACTATGTATATCCTGAACATAAATGTAATCTAAATTGTTTAGAAAAAGAAACGAACTAAACATGTTTAGTAGTTATTAAACCACTGCCAAAAACCAAACTCCCATAAAAACTGAATTTTTCTTAATGGTGATGCTGTTGATCTTATTTTCTAATACTACAAGTTATATACTTTACAAAAAGAAAAGGTATAAATCTGTGAATGACTTATTTTGAATTCAAATATTTTCTAGGAATTAATTTTCTCTATGGTTATGTGTAAGTTGCAAGATGTTACATGTTCTAGTAAAAAAGATTTGATATGTGTACGTGTTAGTGCTGTCGTGTGACATCATTATTAAAACTGTTTTTCGTTTATATGGTTGAGATGAGCGATTTTCATGTTAACAAGGTTGGGGCTTAATTAAAAAATAAACTGTTAGATTTGTAAAAGTAGTCGATCCATTTGATTTTTCTACATGCAGTGACAAAATGGTGCTAACCAAGTAGCTCTGTCAAATCCACCTCAACAAAAGGGCCAGCAACAAATGGGCACCTGACAAACTGGCTCCCAACATTTCAGCCCCCAACAAAGGGGCTCCTGACAGATAGGCTTCAAGCAAAATGGTTGCTGTCATAATGACTACCATCAAATAAGCTTCATCATTTAAGCTCCTGACAAAACAGCTCCCATCATTATGACTACCAGCAATAATTCTCCTAGCAAAAAGCTCCATTCAATAAGACCTTTGCCAGTAAGACCCTGCATCAAAATACTTCAGAGTTAGCTCAGCCAACACACTTAAATTATAAAACATCTGTCGCCATGCCTTATTTTTATATTATGTTATTTTATTTGGTATGTTTTTAATTAGCTATAACCCAAATATGATGTCCAAACAAATAGGCCAGTATTCTACAAAAGAAACAAGGAAAATACTGGGTCCAATATCCTTAACAGAAAATATATTCTCAATTGATGTAATAGATAATATACCAAAGAGTCCCTAAATCTAGTGCTACCAACATTTAAAACTCCTGTTTGTTAATACATAGCAGGGGCGGAACTACAGTGCCGCCAGACCCCGCAATGCGAGGGGGGGGGGGGGGGGCGCCAGGCCGTTTAGGGGCCCAAAGCCGACCATAAACAATTTTTTTTTTAATTTGAATTTTATTTTCGTGCATTTTTGCCTTTATATTTTGTTTGTATAAGAAAAATACTGTAGCTGTGGTACGATTATCTTTATTTTACAATCAATATACCACATTCTTCAGCAATAATTAAAATCCATTACACAAACTGCAGTATAAAATATAGTCAAAACTTCAAATTATAATAACATCTGTGACATGTTGTTCCCTTTTATAGCCAAATAGAGGACACGTAACTATTTGACCGATCCTCCAAAGTGTAATGTGGCGGATGGGGCAGGGGATGGAGACCAAATACGAGGCTCGAAAATTGTCGTCAAATTTACTTATATATTAAAAAAAGTTATTTGTTGCTGTATTTTTTTTAACCATTGCCATGAAAAGTTGGGTAGCTGCTGAGTACAGCCCCGCAAAAGTTTCTGACATAGGCCTAACATTTGTTTACATATTGGAGTGGGGACGCCCAACGGAAATATGTGATTTAGCGCCCCGAGATCTTGCATAAGCAGATGTGGTTACTACTTGAATCCACCGGTGGCAGTGTCATCCTGAGCACATCACATATGAGCAGGTGGGCCCCAAAAGACAAGCGTCTAAAAGTTCACACAACACAAGGGATAAGTCTAGCTACTAATACTACATTTGATGACTAAAACTAATCAAGTGTAGCACCAGTGTTTCTTCCAGACTTTTTTCGGAGGGGGGGGGGAGAGAGGCGAGCACTTGATATTTTAGGGGGGGGGGCGGACTAAGAGATGGCTGAAGGAAAACTGTTGCACCCATCACCCATGCAGTAATGTAACCAGTAGCTCCGAAGTGCCCCGTGACTCCCCTAACACCTGGGCCGTCGCCGGGGACTAACATCATGCCTTGGCATGTCTCGTTGGTAGTGTGGTCAAACACGCGCTTCAACAACTAAGATCCAAGAAATGAAACTGCCAACATTGTTCACATTTAAATAAACTTCTGGAAAACAGGGCACATGTCTATATATACACGATTGGTAACGTTTTGATGAAAACCTCATAAAAATCGGCGTCAGTTTGGTGTGTTGGAGAAGATTTAGAGAGTCTGTGCTTCTCACTTTGAAAACTGAATGGGGCCAGCTAACGTGTTGGAAAACCTGTTTTATTAGTGTACCTGGTACACTGTACCAGATCGCAAAAAAACTCGAGTAAATAAAAAATTTTTAGAGCGTCCTTTGTTTTCCACATATATACATATATATATATATACATACATATATATATATATATATATATATATATATATATATATATATATATATATATATATATATATATATATATATAGGCCTACATACATATACATACATATATATACATACATATACATACATATACATACATATACATACATATACATACATATATATCCATATATATACATATATATCCATATATATACATATATATACATATATATCCACATATATCCACATATATACACATATATACACATATATCCACATATATACACATATATACACATATATACACATATATACACATATATATACATATATATACATATATATACACATATATATACATATATATACATATACATATACATATACATATACATATACATATACATATACATATACATATACATATACATACATACATACATATACATACATACATATATATACATACATACATATATATACATATATACATATATATACACATATATACATATATACACATATATACATATCTACACATATATACATATATATACATATATACATATATATATATACATATATATATATATATATATATATATATATATATATATATATATATATATATATATATATATATATATATATATATATATATATATATCTAGAGGGCCCAAAAAAATATTCTGCGGGGGGGGGGGGGGGGGGGGGCATGTTTTTTCTAGTTCCGCCACTGATATATAGTAACATTATCCGAGGGGGATCCTAATACTATGTATTTCAATAATGCCCTCTCCAAGGCTGGGTGCATGAGGAAGGGGTGTGGAGGAGATGTCCATGCTGGACATTTAACATTGATATGCATGTAGGTTTTCAAAACACTTTGTCAAATAAATGTAACAGCAAGTCAAAAAGGCCAGTGATAAGAAAAAGCACTGACAAAAAATAAGCGGAAGTAACAAAATAAATTGTATGGTTCAATTACATTCAGTGAAGCTTAGTCCCAGTCCATCAAGTGTTGGATTAATAGTGTAACATTTAAAATATAAGAATTAAAATGACTAAAAGAGTTTAGCGATACCAACAAGTATGTGAACAAAGTGATGCTTCTTCACCCACCATCTCCACCAGCATCCTCCAATAAGTTTCTTCTTCATTCTTAATTCCAACACAATAAGTGTTACTTGTCAACTTGTTATGTGCCATATAGAATGTTGATTCCAATTTCAGCCTGCTTTTTTTCTGGATTTGCTTTCATAGCCTTTTGTCCAACCAAGAACAAACTACAAGGCAGCAGTTGTTTGATTTTTTAGTTTTCTCTCCTAGATGGGTTGTTATTCCCAGCTATTGAGCCACATCTGCCTCATCAAGGTAAATACACCAGTTCGTTTTTACTATTTTTTTTAGGATTTTTACTTTTAAACATAAAATAGTTATAACTTTTAACAAATACAAAACATTTTACCAATTTTATTTTAGAGATCTAGTTTTGAATATTTTTGAAAAGTTATAAATTTAGTAACTTGTGCCAAAGAAATTCTCAAGAGACAGAAGCATTTAAAAGTTTTTCTGTTATCTTATGTGTACCAAAAACTAATGATACAATAATGCCTTGCCATTAGGGTATGGCATTTGATTGCTTGTTTAGTAAAAACATCATAATACTGCAATTTTCATATTGCTAAAGCCACTAGGCCTAATGAATACAGTATAACTTTTGATCATGTTACAATCCATGGCTGCTACTGCATAATGACTTAGTTCAATTTATCTTTTAATTCAACCATATAAATAAATGGAAATAAATCAAGTACTAGAAGTTCCTTCTCACGTTTCTAATCTTGATCTGCTCTCTTTTCTGTAGTTGGGCCCTATAATATACCCTCAGACAATCAACATCTGGCACTACAAGTCAAGTTCTATTTTGGTACAACCAATTGCATAATCTTTTATATTACACTAGCGTACCCGTCCTCGTGCGTTGCCACAGGAATAGAAGAAAGTCCGATGAAATTTATAAGAAGGGTTTCATCCATGCGTTACCAATCCTATATTCTTAGACGCGTGACCTTGTTTTCTAAAAGTGAGTTATTTAAATGTAAACAATGCCTAAGCTTGGATCATAAATATCGGGACACGGGTTTACCTACACTACCACATGAAAACATTGAGTATGTGAATGTGCATGAGCATGTGCATGTGTATGTGTATGTGTATGTCTTTTGCTCTTATTAATGCCCCAGCTACTTTAATAGATTAATGAGACAGGTGTTGGCAAATAACAATGATACAGTGGCTTATCTAGATGTTATCCATATATTTTCAAAGAACTGGTTTGTGTGTATATATATGTGTGTGTTTATATATATGTGTGTGTGTGTATATATATATGTGTGTGTATATATATATGTGTGTGTGTATATATATATATGTGTGTGTATATATTTATATGTATATATATATGTATATGTATTATATATATATATATATATATATATATATATATATATATATATATATATATATATATATATATATATATATATATATATATATATATATATATATATATATATATATATATATATATATATATATATTTAAAGGCACAAAATTGAAAATCTGTCCCAGGTGCCATAATCTGTTGCTAGCCCATGGCTCTACCCATATCCAAGGAGGAGAGATGAGAAATATGATGTTTGTGCAATTTACACATTTTTTAATAAGTGTAAAGATAATTTTAAAAGTGTGCTAATAATGACATAAAAAAAAGTATTTTACTCACATCAGCTTTTTTAATAAGAGATTGTCTCTCTTCATGTATTACTTTTATTGACTGTGCACTGTTAACTAATCCAGGTTCTGAATTTGATGAACAGCCCTGTGTGGAATTCAAAATTTTGTAGAACTTCTGAATTGTCACTGATCCTTTATTATCAGAATCAAACCTGAAATGGTAAAAAAAATCAGAAAAAGTTGTTACTGTTGTCATAATGTATAAACTTTAAAATAGCCCTTTAGTCAATTAATAACCTAAGTGAGGGTTTAGGATATGGCATGAACAATATAGAGATAGCACATAATTTGGAGTAAAAATACTAATTAACTTATTTTTTTTAATTTTAATATAATAAAAGTAAAAATTATAGAATTATCCATAAGTGAAGTCACACTTTTTCAACTGGGTTTTCATCCTACCCCCCCCCCCCCCCCCCTTTCAAAGTATAAAAGTAACATCAAACAGGAGTTTGCACACATATTTTTGAAGCACCAAACTATATGTGGTTTTTAGTTTTAAAAATTCTTATTTTGGTTTTGTATAGTAGGCCTATGTGCACAACCTCTAATGATTTTAGTCAATTAAAACTATTCTAGTTTTAAAAATCCCCTTACTTATTCCATAAATGAATAAATTCCTTGTCTGTCAATTTAAGTCCAACAATCGCCAATGCTTCTCTAAGTTGAGGAATCATAATTCGACCATCATTAAGAAAACAAGATGCTGGGAAAATATCTGTTACTCTGATTTCTCTAAAACAAGTGGATATAAAATATTTTTAAAATTATTCATTTTGGATCCAAAAATAAAAAATAAACCGGGAGTGATCTCCCCTAAACTTTCTCGAATATTCTAATATAACACTACGGGGGATGGCAACTCAGGACATAGACAATATTTTTAATCCATTTTTAATTACTTAAACCTTTTATAATAGAATAGAATCTCATTAAAAAAAAGAATTGCACACCAAGTAAACAACAAATAAAATGTGCATAACAGTGCGGAATATTATTAGTACTTTATAAATTCACATGCGTTTTTTTGAGAAATCAGTAATAGCGTAAATCACTACTTCTGGTCAATGGAAATTACTCAAAATTTGAAAGAAGGCAGAGAATTAGAACTTTTACTTACATGTGAAATTTCATTTATCTATCTGAAATAGTACTCAAGTTATGGGCTTTTGAAAAATTGAAAGTAGAAAAAGTTCCACTTCCGGTTATCGGAAATGGCTCAAAAGTTGATACGGATCTACAATTTTGATATAATACTTATATATGAAATTTCATCAGCCTAGCTGTAACGGTACTCAAGTTATCGTGTTTACACACACAGACAACATTACACACAAGACATTCGAACAAGATAGCAAAACTATGTTTTTCCGACTCAGGGAGCCTTAAAACGTCGAGATTTGCAAAAATCTCGTGGTTTTTTTTGGCACAATTACTAGACTTTCTCTATACTTCGTATATACGAGAAAGTAAAAATGTAAACTTTGGGATCTAAACATGCAATTGTTATTAAACAGCCACTTCTTTATATAAAGAGAAACTACTAAATTATCTCTTATAATTAATATGACTGTTATTTACAATTATTTCACAGTAAGTCTTAAAAATTAAGCTGAAGAATGGTCTTAGTTTTATGAATTTTTACTCACATTTAAAAAAAACATTTTTTCTTCTAAATTTCTGATCAGGAAAATTTATTTTAAAAAGTTAAAATTGACCAACCCTTTATGAAGCTTCTTGCAAAGTACAATAAATGCATGCGAGGCACTTGTAAAGGGACACCACTCAATCGGCTCCTTGTTGTGTATGCTTTCTTCAAGGATTTTAAATGATTTTTGTTTACAGTGTTTATCACTTGCTTTATAGGAAGTAACAGTCTAGAGTAAATAAAAAATTTAAATGTTTAAAAAAATATTTTCAAAAATTGGCAATATACACTGATTATTTTAAATATATTCTTTAAAACATTTCAGGTCATGTCACATGATTTAGTGATCCCTTCCCCAGAGATGAACATTTATTTTAACTACTTTAATTTTATTATTCAGGAATTTTATTAACTTTTAATTTTAAAAACGTTACTGATAATGTTAATTGTCATGAGCACACAAGTACAGTGCACAACAGAAAAAAACTTAAGATCTATATTCGTTTCATTTTGCAGACTTGATAGTGCTAGCAGACTTGATAGTATTTGCAGTCATTTTAACAAGAAGTAGACCTAATTTATGACAAAATACTTATAGATCTAGTATATTTTTATACTATTTTTATATATTTTTCTCGATATCATGTCAACTGAGAATTAGCTATTTGGAAAAGAGGATGAGTGTCCCTTGGAGAAGTAACAATTAGATGGTGACACAACTTATGAAAGGAGCTGGTCCTTCTATTTCACTACACTGAATCAGAAGGTATGAGTGATAATAATGAGTTGATCTCTGCTTCCTAATGAAGTGCTCTGAGCTTCAAAAAGAAACTTAACCTGTTATGCAGCATTTTGCATACTAATAAGGATAAGGGAGTAGGACATGTCGGAACCTTTTGGTGTGTTTGGTACATTCAGAAGAAAAGTCTAGGATATAATCCAATTGAAAATCCATTCAATAATCATACTAAAATATACTTTTGTGATGTGTTTATGTGTGAAAATTACAAAAATGATTTTTATAATGATTGCCATATTTAATAAATTTTACAGTTTATTCCTGTTTTGTAATTTTTTCATTTTTTGGAAAAAAATGTCCTACATTCCTCGTTCCTGAAGGTAATTATAAATACCAAAAGCAATAAACTAACATATTGTTTATGAAAAAAATTAATTTAGAACTTAAATCCGTAAATAAAGGGTTAAACAGACCCAAAACTTTAACCTGAACCAAAGCTTTGAATAGAACTGGAACTTTAACCAGATCCAAAACTGTATCAGGAACATAACCAGAAAATGAACTAGAATTGGAACTTTAAAATGAGCCATTATTTTTCTGGATTCTGAACTTTAACTTGAAAAGAAAATTCAACCTGAATCAAAACGGAAACTGCATTTTAAACCGAACCAGAACATAAACTTTTAACCTAAACCCTAATCATATGGTCAAATGGTAGAGCTCACAATTGCTAACCCAAAAGACAATGACTTTGGATTGCGGGTTCAAGTCTGTAATATTTTTTTGGACCACCCAGCTCTGATGAGTACTTTACTCATGTTATGGAAATCAAGGTGGGTGGGTATAGTGATGACCATCCTATCCCTTTGTATACGGGAGTCAGTGAAACAGATGGCTACTTCTTCTCAAGGACAATATAGCTCAGGACAAAATATATCAAGACAAATGATCTCGTAGACAAAAGATGTAAGAGTCAAATACTTCAGGAAAAAAGTAGATCTGGACAAAAGATAACAGGGAGAAAATATCCCAGACAAAATATCTTAGACCAAAAATCACCATTTATTTATTTTGCTTTTGTGTTATTATTTTAGTCATATAAGCTTTTTTTGTATGTAAAACATTCATTTTTAATGTTGGACGAGTAAATTAGGTGGTTAATTTTGTGTTTCTATTATAATTGACATCATTATCTTTGTGTATCCTTTTTAGCCATTTTTTTATTTTTTTGTCCCACAATCAATACCATTATTCTTTTTTGGAGTTCTAGATATTAAGTTACTTATATTTGGACTTGTTTTGATATTTTCCCCAGAAAGACAAAGAGAAGGAATAGTGAAATTAGCCAATTGATAAGCAAAAGAAATTTGAAGCACATAAAACTAATTATATTTAAAATAATTATTTCAAATCCATTTTATGCTTTCATATTTCAACTTACAGAATTGTCATTAAAGCGCATCAAAAACTCTTCAAAACTGACACTAGTTCTCCAATGTAAATTTATGCTGTAAAATGTAAAACTTGTAGTGACTAAAAAAACAAAAGGAAATAATTTTAAAATAACTACTTATATATATATATATATATATATATATATATATATATATATATATATATATATATATATATATATATAAAATATTTTTTTAAAAGCCTAGTAGAAATACACAAAACAATCAATTATATTGTTGATTTATTATGGTGATGCAGATATCAGGAAAGCACTTGAAATGCTTATTTCAACAATACCTACCCTATACAGTTAAAACTTTATTCCTGGGGTGGGGATAACACTAGTTAAAGTATTTATTTTCTATAAAAAATTATACATTTTCTATATTTCATCTCCAAAAAAGATTCCTGCAACAAACTGAACATTTTAACAGAAGAAACTTGAAAAAAAAAACTAAATAATAACATCCTAAAATCCAAGGGGTCATCCATAAATGAAATAAATAGAGATGGGGAGAGGTGGTGGCACATAGCATACATTTTATTTTTCTTATAAAAGAATGAAAACTAGTTGTTTGATTACAATTAATTTAAAAGTAAGGATGGTGGGTAAGATGGTGGAAAGGTAGACAGTCTGGCTTTTTCTGAATATGTATGATGATAGTATGTAAGTTTCACTAATGTAAGTTAGTATTACATCATTGTTGTGCTATGACTCTAGACAGGGACATGAACTTGAGACTTATGGGTTAGCAGGCTACTATTCAACCATATTGTCCCATTACAGTGTACAAGACAAAATCTGCTATAATTGTGATGTCATTTATGGATGACACCCCACCCCACCTCCCTCCACTCTAATTCATTTTCATTGCTTTTTAAATGTAACAGAAAAATGTTTGATAGAAACTAGAATAATTATGGTAGTACCATATTTTTAAACATAAACAAAAGACCAAAGTAACAGTATGAACATACTTTACTTTTAAAATTCTTAAGAAACTATAGAGATAAAAGGAATAGTATACATGTGACATTTTTATTGAAATGTTTGTAAGATATTTTGAAGGAATGAGATTCTTTGTTACTTACGCTTTTAAAAAAGATTCAAACTGATCTCTACTAATGTGTCCCACTAAAGTTTTCAAAGTAATAAATAGTCCTTCTCTGAAAAATATTCAAAAAGATGTATTACAAAGAAGTTCAAATGACATTATATATATATATATATATATGTATATATATATGTATATATATGTATATATATATATGTATATATATATATATATATATATATATATATATATATATATATATATATATACATAACCCTAAATTCCTGGGTAGCCTTTATATATATAGAGTCCAGGAACACAACCAGACACAACGTCTAGGATGACTGCAGATCAAAAAGCTTGACAACATTTTTGTAAACTATGTCTTAGCCATTATTTCACTTTGCAAAAAGTCTTTTTTGTAAATATAAATAAAATTGATCAGTATACTCAATGTTGACAAAGCTCAGCAGATGTTTTAGAAAGAAAATTGCTGTTTAAAAAATTGCACTTTCGAGGGATTAGTAAATTCAGGTGTCATATCAAAAGAGTTAAGTATTAGTATAAATAATGCCATTTTAATTAATACATTTTCTATGTGGGTTAAGAATTTTTGTTTGTTGTTTTAAATATTGAAAGCTAATTTAAACAAAATAATTGTATGAGTAAATAATTTAAAAACCTGGTAACAATTGAGTCTCCATAAGGATCCATATCTTTAAACAGCTGTTTAACCCCCTCGTATTCTCTTGTAAGCTTTTCTTTTACTTGGTCTACCAGCTAAAATGGTAAGAGGCAATAAACAACAATACAATTATTTTTAATAACTTAATAAACTTAAATATCAATCTACTGTTATCACTGTTATCACTTACAATTTTATTGTGGTAGCCTACCTCTTTGTCTGTTCTCCACCCCATTGATTGTAGAACAGTATGTTTCTCATCATCACTTTTTTTTAGATTTTCTGATGAAGTAAACAAAAATGTTGCAGAAAAATCAATGCTTTTGTTTACCGCGTTAAAATTAATATAGGCTAAATCAATTTCATTAAAATTAGTTACTACTAACAACTTTTGGAACAGAATAGTTAACTGGTAGATTTTATGATTTTTCATGCTTTTATGGACACTCTGAAGGAAAGATTGACAAACAATGTTCTTTATCCATAGCATTGGGGGAGAAAGCTTTAATCAAACCAAGAGAATGCCATATATTTAAAAAGTTAAAAAACTAGACCTGAAGGACGATGACTAATCCATGTCATTTCTCGATTTAAAGCTGGTGTTGACATTCCAGTGATTGTCAGATCAAGATCCGCTTGCTGATGAGGAGCAACATGTGTTTGTTTTAAGGAAGGTGTTCGGCATAATGGAACAGACTTTGCACGATTGATATGAATTCGAAAAGCACTGCTTGACATCTTTTATCTTAGGCTGAAATTTTAAAGGCATTAAATTAATTTATTTAAATCTACTAATAGTAATACTAATAAGCTTTTAATAAATTTTAAAACCTATAAATAATTCATTTTTAACTTAAATTAGGTATAGTAGAATACAGCTGATATGTAGAAATAAATACTGCTCTACAACATAACATACATTAATTAATATTTACATTATGACATAGTAATGTTAGAAAGTTGTTCTAGCTGATGGTTAGAAGCTATACATTATTTTGCATCATTTAAAAGGAAATTTTGCTAATACAATATGAGACAGCACATCCTCAAGCAAAACCCAAAGACTATAACTAGTATAACAGACATGGAAAAGCATTTGGCAATTATTTTGGCATCTAACCAGATAGAAAATTAAAACGGACTGACAAGTCTGAGGACACAACATCTGTACCCCACCCCCCATTATCACTTACACCCAGATCTAAGAATCCTGCTAGAGATCACAAGGGCAAACAAAACCTGATGATGGCAAATACAATGTTTTAACTGCAGGGAAGAGAGACACAGCAATCAGGTGCTGATGAGATATTGCAGATAGAATAATTGGAAAAAATGGCTATATATGATATATATATATATGTTACGGTCAAAGCCCGAAGTGCGGCCAAAGCCCGCATTGGCCGGCCAATGTGCGCATTGGCCGGCTCTCTTGGCCAAAGCCCGAAGAACTTAGCACTAAGAGGTACTAAGACGTACTTGCCAAAGTCCGAAGCGCTTAAACTTTACAGCGTATTTTGTACATTGGCCAGCCAATGCGCGGACTGGCCGGGATGTCCTGGCCAATGGTTGTGATCGCGTTTTCATTATTCTGGGTGCGGTTTCATTGTGAGTAACGTATTGTTTGGCTCTTGTTTGCACAGCATTCTATATGCAATGCGACATGGACCAAAAGGACAGTCAGATCAAGAGACAGACATACCAGAAACACTGGTCAAGGCTACATTTACTGCAATTGCACAACATAGTGCACAACAAATCGCTGCAAGTGTAAAATTAACAATGTAATTCAAATAATAATCAACAATAATTTTTATGATCCTTACTGCTCATGATCTTCTAATTCGGACTGGCCGGCCAAAGGCCAAAATCAAGAGCCATTTCAGACTATGGCCGAAATGAAGTAAAGTTTCGGACTTTGGCCGGTCAATGGGAGGCGATATTGGCCAATGCGCGCATTGGCCGACTTCGGGCTTTGACCGTAACATATATATATATATATATATATATATATATATATATATATATATATATATATATATATATATATATATATATATATATATTTATATATATATATATTTATATATTTATATATATATATATATATATAATTTATAGGCCTACAATAACAATATTCTAAGTCCAGCCTACATTGAACACCCCCAAGAAAGATGATAAATAGGCACATTATGTAGTTTCTATTGGTGTTTCTATTCTTTCTTCACCAGCCCATTAGCAGAAATAAGAACAATAATTATTTCCTTTATTGTTGGCTGAAATAAGCAGTATCAGAAATATGTTTAATGTTACACGAAAATACATTAAAATCACTTGCTATAACAACAATGCAAAGTTTTTTTGCAAAAATTTAAATGGGATCAGCTCTGAGCACACTCAAAGGGTAGATTAATATTTTTAAAAAATATATATGTGGTGTTATTGTTAAAATATATTATTATATGTTGATTGTGAGGTTACTGTAATAATTTTCTTCATATTGGATGCATTTGTAGCTGTAATGGTACCTTGACATATGAATGTTTAACTGTACTATAAAGATTAATCACAGACTAAACTTGACAAGCGTAATTTGTAGTATTAAAATGTAAAATCTAAGCCCTATAATTCTGCATAATTTTATACTTGGTGAAATTACGAAATTTATCTCATTTATCAATTGAAACAAATCACAGACATGATTTTGTAACAGCAGTCGCACAATGTACTTTGACCCCCACTCCATTGTTTTTTTTTGGGGGGCCTATCAATGTATTTCTTAACAAATAAATGTAAAATATGCAAAACTGAAGATACTAAACAAAAAAAGGCATTAAAGACTGAATATTTTATATGTTAAAAAAAAGCAATTTAATTTTAATATATAAACTCTTTATTATCATATTCAGAATAGTCATAATTTTTTCTGTAAAACACAAAAAGGGAATATAATTTCCATCCATGGCCCAAAAAGACTGAGCTCTACAAAACAAACCATACTGATCACTAAAATTGCTCTAAGCCTGGTTGTAGATCCAGTAACTGGAGAATCCTTTAGTTTTCTTATGTAGACCTACTTTGCATTACCAAATTAAAAAGTTAAACAAAAAGGCACACAACTCAAAGTGGTTCAGTCTGTAATTCTGGCTCTTAAAGAAGAAATTTTAAAATTAAAATAAAAACAACCACCACACAGTACTTTGGTAGAGAGGAATGCTTGTTATTTGTGGGTATTTTATTAAGTAACGGTGGTTTAGGTAATTTAAAACGTATGCTGCTTTGTTGCTTGATTATATCCTTCAGAAACAGCTTGCATCATTTGAATAAAACAAATATAAACTTTATAGCAGCAAGCTTTTAAATGCACTGCAAATAAGAAAATAAAGTGTATTTGCTTCCTTTAGTAAAAGCTTTTGTCGCTAAAATATGTAAAAGATCTTTTAGTGATTCTTAATTTATGAAGTCGACACACTTAAAAATATTTGCTTTAAAACACCATCATTAGCTCTCGATATATAAAAGATGATTATCTGCCCCTGTGAAAAGCAGCCGTACTTGATCATCATTTACAAAATACAGCAAGCTGATGAAGCAAAGGAGAGTTCTTAATCCCCTTAGTTTCAAATAATTTAAAAACATTATTATCCGCCCCTAATAGCCTTCATTAGATCGACCACCTCCTCGATTGCAAGAATTTGGCATGAATCACAGCTCACCAGACTGGTCAGTTGATAGCATCTAGCTAGTTATCTCCTCTGCTGTTATTTGTTATTGAATAAAGTAATCTATCGTGTGATTTAAAACCGTTTAATTTATTTTAATGACTAATCAAATGTCTTGTGAAATAAAAAATAGACGGACTTGTATTGTCATTGGAGTGGAACAAATCTGGAAAGTTTGAGTGAAATCGCTGCATTTAGAAATCAGTCAAAATTGAGTTACAAGGTTTGCCACAAACAGTCGTTGCAAACTAAATAAAAGTTTGTAGTAAAAAAAAAATTGCCTTTTGAAGCACTCAATTTCTTAAATCATTAGCATATGTTAAGTTCATTAAAAAACATGAGATCTAGTAATACCTATAGTGAGATCTATTTAAAATTCTAATATTAAGAATAGAAGTAGATCTTGATTTTAGAGTTGGGCCAATGATACTTTTTATTGTTATTTTTTGTTTGTTAATTATGTTCCATTTTAAACCTAAATAATTAGCCTAGCACTTCTTAACAGCCTGTTTTTATAGTCAGTACAAGTGTGATCCCATAAGCACTTCTGTAGGGCCTATTATAGATTTATTCCTCTATTAGCTTTAATACTTCTATTTTGATAGCTCTGCAACTGGGGAAATAAAGACGGAAACTTAGTATATGTTGTACACTTTAAACAATACAGGGCGAGGAAAAATGAAGTACAACCAGCAACAATAAATTTGGATAAATTATTTTTTTAAATTCAAAATAAAGAATTGTCGTTCCCCTTCACTACTTTCTTGTATATGAAGTATATAGGAAGTATTGTAATCGTGCAAAAAATTCTCGACGTTTTCCACCTCCCTGAAAATCGGAAAAACTTAGTTTTGCAATTTTGTCCTGTATTTCTGTGTGTGTGTATGTGAACACACACATACACACACACAGAAATACAGGACAAAATTGCAAAACTAAGTTTTTTTTTTTTTGTTTTTTTTTCCGATTTTCAGGGAGGTGGAAAACGTCGAGATTTGTAAAAATCTCAATTTCAATTTTTTTTTTTTTTGCCTTTGCGAATGGAGCAGAGCTAGAAGAGGTCGAAGACTTTAAGTACCTCGGCAGCTATATATCAGCAAATGGCAGCATGGAGAAAGAAATTGCCACCAGAATAGCAATGGCAGCACAAGCTTTCAACAGACTCGCTAAGATCTGGAAATCATCCTCATTGCAGCAGAGAACTAAAATAAGGATCTATAAGTCTAATGTACGTTCTGTACTCCTCTAAGCTGCAGAGTCATGGAAACTAAACAAGAAAGTAGACAGCCGACTCAGAGGCTTTGAAAGAAGATCCCTCCAACGCATCCTCAGGATAAAGTGGGACGACAAAGTCCCGAACAAGGAAATATGGCGAAGGACAGGATTAAACGACATTGTCTCAGAAGTTAGAACGAGGAGATGGAGATGGCTGGGCCATGTCCTACGCATGAGCAAAAAAAGACTCCCCAACATGGCGCTGAAGTGGAACCCACCCGGAAAGAGAAGTAGAGGAAGACCACTGGGAACATGGAGGAGGGAGATGGAAGAAGAAGTACAGGCTACTGGCAAAACCTGGCATGAACTAAAGTGGCTCGCCCAGGACAGGGTGGAATGGCGGAGATTTGTTGTTGCCCTATACTCCACAGGGAGTGATGAGGATTAAGTAAGTAAGTAAGTATGTGAACACATAACTTGAATACCGTTACAGCTAGGTTGATGACATTTCATATAAAAGTAATACTTTTTTAGATTTGTAGTTATGTATCAACTTTTTCAGCGATTTCCTGTAACCAGAAGTGGAACTTATTCCATTTTCTGTTTTTCAAAAGCCTATAGACAGACTAATTTAAATTTCACAAATAAGTAAAAGACTAATTCTCCGGAAGTAGTACTTTACACTATTTCTGATTTCTCAAAATACGCATATGATTTAATAAAGTACTAGCCATCCTGACCAGGCCCTGCACTGACCTCTATGAAAAACCTATCTGTAAAGGACCATGTTCTAGAAGTAAAATTTGTTTGTTATATGTATTGCAAAAAATTGTCTTGCCTACAGTAACTAGTATGTACGAAATGTATACCCGTAGACTAGCAATAGTCCATACTTCAGCATGTAATTTAGATCTTTGGGTAAATTTTAATCAGGAGACATGATAAAACAGTAAGCCACTAAGCCGATTATAAATACATGGAGCTCAGTTCTATTTATGAATTTTACAATGTAGTGTCATAACTTTATAGTAGGCTACAATCATACTAGTATTACTAGTAGTAGGCTTTCGTTTTCAAAAAAAAAAAATTTCGGCTCATTGTAACTTCTATTGGAAGCTTCCAGCAAACGCAGGTTCAGTCCAGTGACTGTTACTGCACCAGAAAGACCACAGACAAGAATGTGTCACTAAGGAATAAGGAAGTAGAACATGTTGGCACCTTTTTCTATGTTTGGTACAACCAGATGAAGATCTAAGATGTGTTCCCATAGAAAATCCAGTCATAAATAATACTCAAAATATACTTTTGAGTTGCTTTTATGTGTAAAATTTATAAAAATGAATGTTATAATGATTGCCATGTTATTGGTTAATAAATTTTACAATTTATTCTTGTTTTGTACATTTTTTATTTTTCTGAAAAAAACATGTCCTACATCCCTGATGTTACTTTTAAGTACCAATACCTATTTGGACCATTAAAAACTAACAAAACTAAATTTCCTTTCACTTATGCTTTAAGCGTGCCAAAAGCAATATATTAACACATTGTTTACCACAAAATGTCATTCAGAACTTAATTCCATACATAAAGGGTTAAAAAATGATCAATATTGAGTTTTTTAGACATCAATTTAGATTTTAGTACAAAAAAAAAACCACTTAAAAATATTACACAATGGGGATCAAGTCGAGTTTTATTTTTTACAATATGCATGTCTTCCACAAATATACATATAGAGGCGCAGAGTCCATTTCATCTTTATATATTAGACTAATGTTTTGAACTATTACACACTTATTGCTGTTCAATTGGCGCACAATTCTTTTTTCTAAGAGATTCTATTCTATTTTTTTTTAAATTAAGTATTTAAAAACTGATTAAAAAACATGTCTATATCACAAGTTGCCACCCCCCATAGTATTATAAAAGAACATTTGAGAAAGTTTAGGGGAGATAACTTCTGCTTTATTATTTACATTTTTCAAAGATAAATGGAAAAAACAAATTGTTATTGGCTTTTTAAAAATTTTGTTTAGTTGCCGATAATACTAGAAACATATAAAACATCCAATCTTTAGGAAACTCCAACAAAAACCTCACAATAAAGTTTCTATAACCTAATATTTAACAACAATATTTAATTCAACCCCTTTTGACTCTGGTCATTTTTGTACACATGTGTTTTGACCAAAGAATGTTCTAATTAAAAACACAAATTTTAATAGTTTTGCACTATTTATATTCTGGCCCTCTTTTCTACAATTTAAGCATCAAGTTTTTTTTGTTTTTTTTTATAGTTTAAAATTTTCAATATTCAAGTTACACCTCAATTTGATGAGAATATCTGGAAATTTAAAACAATTATTTAATTATTTTTTACATAGCTTAAGAATTGTTTATTGTTCAAATAAAGTGTCTCATTCTTATACTTAGTAAATAGCATTCCAGAATTGCATGTTATAAATTAGGTGTCACTGACATTTTACTCTATTGTGACATGTACATTTTTTTACACAGTATACTTGACCAATGGAGATGAAATTTAGTATGTGATATCAGGACACCCAGTGGCGTAGCGGGATCGGGTGTCACCAGGTGCGGCACTTAATGGTGTCACCCCCCCCCCCCCCCAGAGGCGTAGTGACCCTTCCCGGCGCCCGGGGACAAACTTTCAATTTTTTATTTGCACCCCCCGCCCTCAAACTTTCCACCGTTGTCGGGATTTGTCAAATTTGCTCTTAAAAAGACTTTTTAACACTCGAATTAATCACTTAATTAAGTGGAATTATCATTTTCTCTATATATTTTACTATTTTTTTCCTAAATGGTGTCACCCGGTGCGGTCCGCACCCCCCCCCCCCCCCCCCCCCATCGCTACGTCACTTTTCCATTCATGGGATAATTTTTTGGACAAAAATCCTGCAATAAGATTGCACCACATTTTAGGTAATCTATCATTTGAGGTATGTAAAATAGGTCGAAGCTAATGAAATGACAGAAAGGTGACTAATTAAATTTATGTTTTTAAGTTACAAAAATCTTTTGTGTACCTGTTTTTAAACAATTTGATTGAAACTTTGCACTAATAATTAAAGATTAGTTATGTTTATCAGATGCAACCTAGCTTGTTAACTTAGCAGTCATCTTTTTAAAGTCATTTCAATATTATAGTTAGAATTTCAGGGGAAACCACTCAAATTTACAAATGGATGCTGTTTTTAAACTATAGAGCAAATCATGTTTTCAAACACTACTTTTTAACTTAACTTTTAAGTTAATTTCTGGCCTATATTGATATATTTAGACATTGTGTATAGTTTATCATTCACTTATCCATTATATTTGATACAAATATATCACAATATGCTAGTATTAATGCTATATTTATTAGTCACCTCTCTATAACATTAAGAGCTTTGTCAGATTTGACCTACCTAAAAGATGAAAATAAAAGTTAAAACAATAGATTACTGGATTTTTTATTTTAAATATTGTATTAGGCCTAAGTATAGTAGTCAGATTGGTAATCTATCGTAACATTGTCAGAGGTTAATAATGTGAAAAAAGGTGACTCATAAAATTTTAGTAATTATTTCACATTTATAGGAGGATTTATGTTTTAAAATGACAAAAATGTATCCAGGTTCATAGTTTCATTCATGTAGATATACTTGTTTTTCAAAATGTTTATTAAAACTTTCAGTAAAAAATAAAGATTAATGATGTTTTCATCAGATGAAACCAAGCTAATTTACTTTAGTAGCCATCTTGTTTCTTTTTTTTTTTTTAAAGATAGAGATACAGGAGAAACCACTCTAATTTATAGATGGACGCTGTTTATATAGCAAATATTGCACTAAAACATAGCTGTTTAAAAACAAATTATGGCCAATAATAATATTGATAAATTTAAATATTGCTTTTGGTTTATTATTCAGCTACCTATTATATTTGAAACAAATATATTACAATATACTTGTATTAAAGGCATAAAGCCAAATTAATGAGTCATCTTTCTCTCAGACGATTTTACAATTTTAGGCCTACCTAAAACGATAGATTACCATAAGCATTTGACTATTAGGCATTAGGCCTTTAACTTTAATAATTATTTTTTTTGATAATCTATTGTTTTAGGTATGTAAAATCGTCCGAGACTAGTAATGTGAAAAACAGGTGACTCCTTAAATTTTAGTAATTATTTCAAATTTTTTGTTGGATTTATGTTTTAAAATTTACAAATCTGTTTCAAATTTTCATTTATGTATCTGTTTTTAAACAATAGAATTAAAACTTTTCAGTAATAAATAAAGCCCAGCGGTGTTTTCATCTAGGGTTGCCAGGTTCCAGTTTTGAACTGGGCAGTCCAGTATTTGAGCAGACTCTCCAGGATAAAATAAATATAAATACTGGACAAGTATATGAATAATACTCTGTTACCCCCCCTTCTTCTGCTTTGCGGCATACCTGAGAAGGGAAGGATGGAAAGGTGTCCAGTATTTTCGGAAAAGGTATCTGGCAACCCTATTTTCATCTGATGCAATCATTTACTTTAGCAGCCATCTTGTTTAATTTTTCTTTTGTAAACTTAGAGTGGGAGATTCAGGGGAAGCCATTTTATTTTACAGATGGCTGCTGTGTTTATTATAACAAATTTTGCTTGTAAACACTGCTGTTTAATTAAAGTTAATTTCTGGTCTATAGTCTATATTCAAATATATTATATAATATATATTGATATATTTACAAAATTTAGCCATTGATTTTGGTTTATTATTCATTTATCTATAATATTTGATACAAATATAATAATATATCAGAATATCCCTCTTTAGTCTTTAGGTAATCTATCGTTTTAGGTACGTAAAATCGCCCGCGACTTGTAATGTGAAAAACAGGTGACTCCTTACATTTTAATAATTATTTCACATTTTGAGGAGGATTTATGTTTTGAAAAATACAAAAATGTTTCCTTGTTTCATTTATGTACCTGTTTTTAAACAATTGAATTAAAACTTTTCAGTAATAAATGAACACCAGCGATGTTTCCAACAGATGCAACCATGCTCATTTACTATAACAGCCATCTTGTTAAAGTTTTATTTTTATAGACTTATAGCGCGAGATTCAGGTGGAAGTCACTCTATTTTACAAATGGCTGCTGTTTATATAGCAAATCTTGCTTGCAGACACTGCTGTTTAAAGTTAATTTCTGGCCTATATATTTATATATTTAGCCATTGATGTAGGTTTATTATTCAATTATCTATAATATTTGACACAAACATATACTTCTATTACAGTCTTGACAATGAGGTAACATTTTCGTACATTAATAGCCGCGGGCGATTTTACGTAAACAAAACGATAGATTACCAAGCTTTAACCCTGAGGCAACTTTTTTTTCATTACTAGATCTAGATCTTGCCGCGGTCAATTTTACGCCTGCCTAAAACGATAAATTTAAATTACCATTTGTTAAAAATTATGTCAATTATGTGTTTCCGTCGTATTTCAATAAAATCTATATATATAATTCTCTTCTGGGAGACGCTAGAAAACAAGCTGTAAATGCGCTCCCTACCATCCCCACCCCTACATGGTCTTAGTGAGCTGTGGTTCACGCTATGTTTACCTTCGTGGAGTCGGGTTTAGTGACGGCTATTAGGGGCAGATAATTTAGTTTGAAACGATTTTAAACGTTGGGGGGGGGGGAGAAGGAAGGGGGGTTATGGTCCTTAACGAGCTACTTATAGTGTTTTAAAGAAATATTTTCAGTGTCAGCGTTGGTACTGTCGAATTCACAAATTATGAATTACTGAAAAGTAGAAAAAACAACAACTAAATAGCGGCGTATGTTATTCCGCAGGCCGGCTCGTACACTTTAATAGACTAAAAGTTAAATTTTAACTTAATTAATTTAAAAACACAGTCTAGATAATAGATATCTAGGCCCACTACTAATACCTAACTTGACAAGTCTCACCTCATTGCTCCTCCATATATAAACAAACTCCATGGCGACCTATTATTTTCGTATCATGTGACTTACACCGCGTTTACATTTGCGACATATATACTAAACTTGACCTATTTAAATGTATAATAAACATGTTTTGGGTATATGGAACATTTTCTGAGTCGCATGGCACAAAACCACGCCTTTTTAAATTTATTATTATTACAAGCTTTTATTTAACTCACTGTCTCTGTCGTCAGTCTAGATCGAAACATCCGAGCGAAAATTCGGGCACTTCTAACTGACATCATAGTAACAATGTCCATATTGATAAGTGCACGAGTGCAGATGTATTTACACTTTGCAGTCAGCTTGGAATGAAACCTATATCAGAGTCCTTTTGTCTGCGAAAAAACTTGTTATGCCTTCTCAATTTTGTTGATCGTTTATGGTGGCTATTGATCACATCTTTACAGGTTACAGTTATGAAGAACGCATGTTAAGGTACTAAGGGTGAGAATGCAAGACTAGCATGGTTATCTATTTTGCCTACGTAGTTAAAAAAAATACAAGTAGTATTTAATAAGCAAGTGTATTTTCGTGTAGCCCTAACATATCGCAATAATTGTAGAACCAGCTATGTATAAATACATATTTATAACATAACGATACACCGACTGAGGCATTCTATATAAATGTTCTTACTTTTAAATTTACTACTGGTTCAAGGAACTAATAATTATTTAAACAAATAATATTTTCTTTATGTGTCCCTAGCACCGTTCCAGCCACAATTAGATCGCATACTAATAAGTTACAGACACAAAGACTGATTACCTATTAAAAGCAATGATTATTCTGTATTTCTGTGCACCCAGATCAACCGTAGATGTCATAATTTATTTTTTGTAATTTTTGTAAAAAGACGCACTTTTGACATATTGTGAACACATGCACTCTTCTGATCAAACGTGAGTTTCAAACTTACTTGTTATAGACATACAGGTTACTTAGATTCAAAGAAGCGTTGTTCTCCTACATTTTGAAATACTTATCAATTATGCTCTTTCATCAGACATTTTTTTGGTGTTGTTTTAAAAATGTACAAAATTTGTGTTTTTTACTTTCCTTTTTAATTTTATAAAAGAGTGAGAAAAGCCAATTTCAATGCAATTAATTTAAATGATATAGGCGAGGAGTGGGTGAAAAGTCACAGGGGCGAAAAGTCACAGCAAGCTTTTGCCTTGAAGAACATACTTTTTACTTTCTCGTATATATAGAGAATAGAGAAAGTATTGTAATCGTGCAAAAAAAAATCGCGATTTTTCCAAATCTCGCCGTGTTACACCTCCCTGAGTCGGAAAAACATAATTGTGCAATCTTGTACGTATGTCTGTGTGTGTGTATGTATGTGTGTCTGTAAACACAATAACTTGAATACCGTTACAGCTAGGTTGATGAAATTTCATATATAAGTATTATCAAACTTGTAGATCCGTATAAACTTTTTAGCGATTTCCGATAACCGGAAGTGGAATTTTTTTCTACTTCCAATTTTTTAAAAAGCCTATAACTTGCGTACTATTTAAGATAGATAAATGAAATTTCAAACATAAGTAAAAGATCTTATTCTATGCCTTCTATCAAATTTTGAGTAACTTCCGTTGACCGGAAGTAGTAATTTAGGCTGTTTCCGATTTCTCAAAAAACGCATGTAAATGTATTAAGTATTAATAATATTCCGCACTATTATACACATTTTATTTGACGTTTACTTGGTGTGCAATTTTTTTGTCTACGAGATTCGATCCTATTTTTAAAAGTTTAAGTAATTAAAAATGGATTAAATATATTGTCTATATCCCGAGTTGCCATCCCCCGTAGTGTTATACTAGCCATCGGTACCCGTTTCACGTGAATTATAGGCCTTTATATTTTTAACTAGCTGCATCCCGTGCTCCGCCACGGTAAATCTTTTTAAAATATACCAACTTTGGAACAGAACAAAACAAACAAAATCACAACACAAACACAAACAAAACACAACCACAACCACAACACAACCACATTACAACCACAACACAATCACAACACAACCACAACACAACCACAAAACAACCACAACCACAACACAACCACAACACAACAACAACACAACCACAACCACAACACACGGTAAATCTTTTTTAAATGTACCAAGTTGGGAACAGAACAAAACTAAATACAACACAAACGAACGCAAAGAAAAAACAAAAAGGAAAAAACAAACACAACACTCAACATAAACTCAATTTAAATGTAATCATAAAGGCATATTGCTCACAGTCTATCCCGTAGCGCAAAATCGCGCCCTTTCCGAGCGCCGGCGGAAAATTTCGATTTACACCCTCCCACCTCCCTCAAACTTTCGATTTCCACCCTCCCACCCCCCCCCCCCCCTCTTGCTACGCCTCTGTTATAAAACCCCTAGCTTTTCCGCAAATAAATTAAGGCCGATTCTAGTCGGAATAAGATACGCATGCGATACGCATGCGCAATGGAGAGAAACTACGACTTAGCGGCGATGTTTTCGATGGTACTGCGCATGCGTGTGTTTACAACCGCAGAACCCTAATACCAACCCCAATCCTATCCTTAACCCTATCCCTAATCATATCCCTAACCCTAGCCCTAATCCTATCCCTAACCCTAACCCTAGCCCTAATCCTATCCCTAACCCTATCCCTAATCCTACCCCTAACCCTCATTCTAGCCCTAACCCTAGCCATAGGTCACTGCGCATGCGCAGAACTATCTTTTGCCGAAAAATCTTATTCCGAGTAGACACTTCGATAAATTAAAGGCAGTATCTATAATAGTTTCGCTGTCTGTCTATCTATCTATCTATCTATCTATCTATCTATCTATCTATCTATCTATCTATCTATCTATCTATCTATCTATCTATCTATCTATCTATCTATCTATCTATCTATCTATCTATCTATCTATCTATCTATCTATCTATCTATCTATCTATCTATCTATCTATCTATCTATCTATCTATCTATCTATCTATCTATCTATCTATCTATCTATCTATCTATCTATCTATCTATCTATCTATCTATCTATCTATCTATCTATCTATCTATCTATCTATCTATCTATCTATCTATCTATCTATCTATCTATCTATCTATCTATCTATCTATCTATCTATCTATCTATCTATCTATCTATCTATCTATCTATCTATCTATCTATCTATCTATCTATCTATCTATCTATCTATCTATCTATCTATCTATCTATCTATCTATCTATCTATCTATCTATCTATCTATCTATCTATCTATCTATCTATCTATCTATCTATCTATCTATCTATCTATCTATCTATCTATCTATCTATCTATCTATCTATCTATCTATCTATCTATCTATCTATCTATCTATCTATCTATCTATCTATCTATCTATCTATCTATCTATCTATCTATCTATCTATCTATCTATCTATCTATCTATCTATCTATCTATCTATCTATCTATCTATCTATCTATCTATCTATCTATCTATCTATCTATCTATCTATCTATCTATCTATCTATCTATCTATCTATCTATCTATCTATCTATCTATCTATCTATCTATCTATCTATCTATCTATCTATCTATCTATCTATCTATCTATCTATCTATCTATCTATCTATCTATCTATCTATCTATCTATCTATCTATCTATCTATCTATCTATCTATCTA